CTCAACTTTCATATTCAAGATCTTTCAGGCTTTTAAATAATTTATCTAATCACTTTTCCTTTTACATTTCTCCAAATTGTCAAGATATTATGAATTATAACAATAACAATAAAAATAATAATAATTTAAAAATTTATTATTATTTCTATTATTATTATTAATATTTAATTATACAATATAAAATGTAATGCAAATTATATTAATATAATAAAAAATTGCAAGATTTATTTTGCTTTAATTAATAGCAATTTGAGATTTTTTTGCTTTATTAATAGCAATTTAAAAAATTAAATTTTGGTTAGTAATTATGTGTTTTTATTAATAAAATATAATAAATACATAGGATTTTTTTCACCAGTGCACACATAGTACTCATGGGATAAGTAGTAATTTTTTTATATATATTTCAATTTAAAAAAATATAAAATTATAAAAATGCTTTTATAATTATTTATTAATTTTTTATATAATATATATAAAAATAAGTATAATTATTCATAAATCTTATTTTAAATAAAGATAAAAATAAATTATAAAATTTATTAAAATAATAAATTATTATATTCTAAAATAATAAACGATACATTGTAGTATTTTTTGAAAAATAATCAATAAATATATTATATTAGCTAATAAAAAAATATTCAAGTTTATAAAAATATAATTTAGTAAATTTTATTTGTTAATTAACTAAGGCCATACAAATTTAATTACTTGGTTTTTATAACATGAAATTTTAAATAGACTCAGCTAGCAGGCTTTTTTTTTTAAAATTTATATATAAAATTTTATAAAATTTATATAAAAACAAATTTTAAAACCTACCCAGTTATTATAGCTGTTCTCATAAATTTTGAAACATCAAGTAAAAAAATTGACAGAATGATTGTTTACTAAATTGATAAGTTTTTAATTTTAGCAATAAGCGATTATGTAATAACATGTATATTTTGCTAAATTACTATAATAATGTATATCTATATCACTATTTTATTTTTGCTTAATTGAATATTATATTAAATTTAGTTGCTATTACTCAAACAAGTTAGATATTTTAGATTTAATAGTAGTTACTTCAAACAAGATAAGCATTTTTAAAATGTTTACTATAGTCAAAAACTAAAGGTTCCTTTAATTGTTAATGTTAGATCAACCGTTTCAATACTTTTATCTGACTCATATTGATTTGCTGTAAATTATTAATTATAATCTTCAATGCAGTTTAACAAATATTAAAAAAAACTTGGTTGTTTGGAATTATAACTTGAATTATATTTTCTTTAGTTAAGTTAATAAATTTTTGTTTATATTGAACTTTTTTTTTAAAAAATATTTATTATGAAAGCTTATCTTATATTTTGAACTTTTTTCAGTTTTTTTTTAAAATTTCATAGTTGGCAACACAATTTTTGTCATAAATATTCATATAGAATAAACACATCAAATATACTAAACATATATTTAGGTGAAATCTTAATTTTAGATGTATTAACATTGTAGTATTGTTCAGAATATAATCGCAAAGAAAATATATCATTATTGCTATATTATTAATCATGCCAAATCAAAAGTTTATCATTGCTGAATCAAAAACTTATCGAATTAGCCAAATAATCATTCAGTTAATTTTTTTACTAGATGTCCCAAAATTTATAAAACAGCTGTAAATCTTATAGAATTTCTTTTAATTTTGACCTGGCCGAATTATGAAAACCAATTTATTAATTTTGCATAATCTAATTAAAAATGTTTTTATTTTTAAATTAACTTTAATATAATTATTATTATTATTTTTATTAATTAGTTAGTAAAGTATATATATATCAAAAAAATAGTATAGCTTAGATCATTAGAGTACAATATAGGTATGTATACATGTACTAGGATGGTAACTAAACCAAATAAATCAAAATTATGTAAGCAAACTATAGAATTTGATATTACAGATTTTTCATATTACACAAATAAAAATTAGCATATTAAATATTGATATTAATTTAACATTAATTACTGCTATATTATGTTTTATTTAGAAATTGGCATCTTTACAAATTAATATACAGTTAAACCTCTGTGAAAGAATGAATTGTAGCTTGAAATAATTTTTTAGCATAGTAGATCAAGGTGGGCCAGAAAAGATCTGCCATATCTAACAGATATATCAGATATGTTAAATATATTATATCTATTAGATATGTCAGATATGTTAGATATATTAGATGTATTATATATGTTATATATATTATATATATTAGATACATTATATATATTAGATAGAATTAGCAAATTAGATAGCAACTAAAAAATATAAATAAAGGCTAAAAGTTTGCCTTAAATAAAGTAGTCACTAGTTATTGCAAGTTAATATTTTATACATAAACCCATAGAAGTTTATTCTCTTACTTTCATAATAATAACTTATACTCCTGTAATCTTGAATTAGAGCCTCATAATGTAATCTATAGTTCTATTTGGCCCTAATAACTCAGACCAAGTCTTCCACACTCTCTTTTGTGCCTTTCTCCATTAGAGTTTAGGTAGAGTTTAGTTGTTAGAGTGTTGATTTAGATTAGTTTAGTATTAGTTGATATCTGTAAGGTTTATATTTGGAGAGATAAATTAATTTTGCCCTCACAATTTGGTATTGGCTATGAGATTAAACTTCTCAAAGCACCTGTACCAAAGAACTTACAAAAAACTCCAATTGTAGATAAATTATCACTTGAACTCTATTTTTTTAGAAACCTAAAACTGTATAGTTTGAACAGAAGTTAAACAAATGAAAGAAAATACTTATCAACTCGAAAGAACCTATGACCAAGATTTAAGATTTAGATAAGATAAAGGTAACTGGTTATATTACCTCTAGCCAAATAGGTTAAAAAACAAATCTCTGAGAAGAGAGTCTACCCAAAATAACCTTCAAAAATAAATACAATGCACTTATTATAAGACAAAAGGGCATATAGTTAAAAAATGTCTAGAAGTAGAGAAGTTAGAAAAACAATGTACAACTTTATCTGAGGCCTTGACTAATACACAAGTTGTCTGATTCCAAGAGATTGTAAATGAAGTCTTTGAAAATGACTATATCAATGATATACAACTTCTTCAAGCTCTGTTAACAATACTTGAAATATTAAGAGTAGAGTATACATAGATCATTTTTTATATGATATACATAATAATTTTTTTTGTGTAACAAAATACATAGTAAACACAAATCTAATTAGATAATTACCAGATTTAGAAATATTTTTACTATTTATTTTTTGTGTAACCTGGCAAATTTGAGATTTTCCTAGCAAATTTAATAGTATAAGGAAGTATATTTTTTTTAAAATAATATAACCTTTAAAATTTTACTACTATAAATAGAAGTTACAATTTATGTTCTACAAAAATTTGGTAATGATTAACTATATTTATAAAAATTTTTATTAGTGGCTAATTTTTATTATCTATATAAGGTCTTGATCTGCCATATATATCATATGAAAAATATTTACATATACTCTACCCTTAAAGGACCTTACTAATAATAGAAGTACTAAGGAGGTACCAATTATATACTTGCTACCTTATATCAAAGTGACCTCAACTTCGAAAAAAAAAGTCAATTCCCAATAGTTCACACTACCAAGATTTTTTCAACCAGGCCCCAATAAAAAAGATCAATAGTAACCAATGCTTTTGATACTTATTATGTTTAAAAAGAACAGAAGAAAAGGTTATTTGAAAGTATTAATTCTTATCCAAAAAAGAGATTAACTAACAGCAAACACAATAGTAGTAAGATATCTAAAAGTCATACTGATAAAACTTCTGACAATAAATATTAAATTGGAACAAGACTAGAGTTAAAAAGAATGAGCCTAAGGCATCTACTTATTATCAAGAAGACTCTGAGATAAAACAAACCAATAAACTATACATAACTGGTGCCTATTATGATAAAAAAAACAAAGCCCAAAAAGCTGAGCATAAAGAAATTAAAGATAAGAAGGATGATAATATTAGTTTAAGTATGTATAATTAAAAATTAAATAAGAGACTAGATATAAGTTCTAAAAACTGATCTGAGCTTGATGAACAGACGAATCTAGATAGCACTGCAAATATAAATCTTGTACAATTAAAAAGTTAAATTGCTAAGCATGAAGCACTGTATTAATAAAAGACAACTTACTACTAGATGAATGAACTCAAAAAATTGCCTGCTAATCTAAATAATGCCAAACTATCAATATATAATTCAAAAAACACAGAAAAAATGAAAGTTGTAAATGAAATCAGAATGAAATATCAAAAGTTGGCTAAATTAGATAAGGCAAGGGCAGATAAATTGGTTTAGAATAAAGATAAGTATAACAGAAATAAAATTACTAAGAATATTAAATATGAAATATACCCAAATAGTTCCAAGGACTTTAAGTCTTATAATAATGATGATGATAATAAGACCTGGTATCTTTGTAACAATGAGATTTTCAAAGGTTGGCTGGGCTCGAATGATTGCGAAAAAGTCAAATTGAATATCATAGAGAAATTGAATAAAGATAAAGAACTACTTGTGAATAAGACTAATGAAAAAATTGAAAAATCTAATAAAGCTGAAGAGGTTTGAATAAGTTATAACAATGGCCAGCTATGTGAAATTAGTATTGAACAAGACAAACATTGATCACTTAATAAATATCAACAACTAACAAAGATGGATAGAGCTAGACGAACACATACTAGCTATCAAAATCATATAAAAATTAAAAATAGTAGGCCAAAAAGGAAAGAAACTAGCAATCCAATCACAAAATGTTATACCTTATTTAATCTCAGTATTAACTTGTTGCTACTTGTACTAATGATAACTAAGAGTGTGTTAGGAAATGAACTTACAATATTAGTAAAAAATTAAATGATAAATCAGGTGATAAAAGCTGAAAAAGATAAAAATAATGTATTCCTTTATTTTCAAAAATCCACTAATATAGGTAATAAAACTGCAATGAGTAATGCTGCTCAATTGTATCAAAATAGTATTAGTACAAAAAGAGATATTCAAAAGCTGAATTATTCAACTAAAAAATACAGAAATCTTTTGAAGACTAATAAATCACCAAATTATATTAATCTGAACTTAAGATTGAAAGACTTAAACTATCATAAATTAATTATAATAAGTTCAAAGGTTTTGTTAAATTGCAAAAAAGGAGTTTGCAACTGTGCATTATACACATTGGATCTATGGAATTAATAATCTGAAGTATTTGCAAATATCTAAAATATATTAAGAGTAGCAATTTAAAAGAACAAGTCTATCAAAAGTTAGCCAAAATAAACAGTAAAATGATCTTGGATCAAAAAAAAATCAAAATTGATAGTATAATTAATCAATCGTGTGATTAATAGTATTGTTAGTGAAATAATACTTAGCAAACATGTGATATCTTGAAAAATTTATGATCATACGAGAATACTAATACTATTGAAATATAACAAAGTAGAGTACTAAAATATGCAATGAATATAACTAATAAGAATCTGGTTAGTCATGATAGCAATATGGGCACTTTAATAATTGAGAATAGATTAATAATAGAAGAAGTAGATAAGGGATGAGAATAAGGAAAGAAATATCCACATTACCTGCTAAATAAGACTCAAAAGAAGCACCAGAAGAATGTCAAAGTGTATCTACAAATTAATCCAAGTACAACATTAGATATTGTTATCAAAATAGAATTGGTATTGAAGAAGATAAAGTATTGCCTATTTGAAGTAAAGAAATCTGATGGTAAATCCAATTCAGTCGATGGTCTAGCATCTGGATAATCAAGAAAAAGCTTCTAAAAAGATAATGGTGATCAATACTGTGGTGGCTTAGATTAAGTTCAAATTTGTACCATTGCTTCAAAGCCATGAGATATCCTTAAAGCCACTTGACTCTTCAATAAAAAACAAAGTATTTTCTGACATTATGAATACCAAGAGCCACAAGCTAATACTAAAATAGATAAGCCCATATGATGTTTATACTATTCTCACGAATAGTGTATATATGCTTTGCAAAATAGAAGAAAAAGTATTAGCAACACCTATTAACAGAAAGCTATTGAAGTTTTACCACAAGAAAGAAAGTATAAATAGAGAACAGTAGTCCACAGCATATTATTCAAGACAATTAAGGATGTCTACAGATTTTAGTTCCCTTATCTGGCTACCCAACTAGAACAGGTAATATCTTTTTTGCCTCCATATGCTGCTGCAGACACTGTCAAAATGCAGATGCAAAGAACCTACCAAGCTATGACTAGATCTTCAAGAAGGAAAAACA